AACACTGGTGAGACCTCACTTGGAGTATTGTACGCAGTACTAGAGACCGTATCTCCAGAAGGATATTGATACTTTAGAGAGAGTTCAGAGAAGGAAACAACAGTAGTGCAAGGCTGCGCCAAAATATATCAACATGGACTATGAATACTAAGACAGGTATATAGATAAAGCATATATATGAAGTTAGTGCACATAGATTAGTCCAAGATAGTTTAAAGTTGCACTCTGGTGATGAGTGTCTTTTAAAGTGCTTTTTAGTGATGGGGTGTCCTCACTGTTTAGAGTAGTCCGATTGTTCTCGTAATATGGAAGACACAAAATAAGAGACCGATCATATAGACTGTGTGGGTCAATATATGTGAGAAGAGAGATATATATGTTAAACTCACATTTAGGAGAGCTATAGCCAGCTCAGGTATAACAGGCGTTAGTGGTATGATCCCCACCTCCGATAAGCTTGTAAGCACGCGATAAAATCGATAAAAATCCAGGTAAAAATAGAGAACGTGTATAAAAAGATAGTTGGCACAAATAGTAACAAAAAAACTTTAATTATATAAAATACACAAATAATAAAATCATTTACGCGTTTCGCCACTAGGGCTTTTTCAAAATGGAATAAGAGTTCAGAGAAGGGCTACTAAATTGGTTTATGAATTGCGGGATAAAACTTACAAGGAAAGGTTAAAGGATCTTAACATGCATAGCTTGGAGGAAAGACGAGACGGGGGGATATGATAGAAACATTTAAATACATAAAGGGAATCAACACAGTAAAGAAGGAGACTATATTTAAAAGAAGAAAAACTACCACAACAAGAGGACATAGTCTTAAAATAGAGGGGCAAAGGTTTAAAAATAATATCAGGAAGTATTATTTTACTGAGAGGGTAGTGGATGCATGGAATAGCCTTCCAGCTGAAGTGGTAGAGGTTAACACAGTAAAGGAGTTTAAGCATGCGTGGGATAAGCATAAGGCTATCCTAACTATAATCTAAGGCCAGGGACTGATGAAAGTATTTAGAAAATTGCGCAGACTAGATGGGCCGAATGGTTCTTATCTGCCAACACATTCTATGTTTCTTTGTTTCTAAAAGTAATGAAGTGCAATGATTTAATAGAACCTCACTTCTAAACACAGCCAGCTTTTAGTAAGTTTATTATGTTTTGCATTATATCTGTTGTTGTTAAGTTATATTTAGTTTGCTTTTTTGTTTATTTGTTTGTTTGTTTGTTTCTTTCGAAGTTGCTTCTATAGGTAGTATAAGACGACACAAGGACCGTGTTTAAAAAAAGCTGAATTAACTCTTTCACAATCAATAACAAAGCAGCATATCATAAAAATCTGGTTTCAAAGGACCAGTGATGTGATGGTAGGTCACAGCAATTATTCATTTCTGCAACTCACTAATGTATTTTGTGACATCACTGGGAATATTTCCAATGAGAGGAAGATCTGCATGTATTTCCAATCTCCCTGCATGCTTTTCCCATCCTATGTACATGCTGCAGTGGAACAGTACTGTGCTTCTCATGGTGCCAAACTTTGATCACTCTGTGCGATCTGCTCGGAAACCACAAAGAATCCTGTAATGATATGTTTCATATTCACAGATTGCTCTCTACCATGTACCTCAGGTAAATCTCACTGCTGATACATGGCCGGTGCAAAGATTTTTGGCTGCACAGATGAAGATGCATTTTGCCGTCTCCCCCATGAACCCCCCAAAAAAGTATCTTCACAACTGTGTCTCGTAACTCCCCTTTTGAATTTTAACCCCTTTAGTGTTTTAAAACCCCATCTCTTGAATGAATTACCCCATTTGTGTCCTTCAGTATATTTTATTCCCCCTTTAGTGTGTCAAATCCAATCATACAGGCACATAGTCATACATTCTACACATACAGGTACACTGTCATTCAAATACAGACATACAGTCTTACAGAGAGATACACAGACACAGGCAAACAGAGGCATACATATACAGACATACAGTCATATGGAGACATAAAACAGTCATGCAGACACTTGGAGGCTATGATGAGGGTTAGGGATTGTGATGGGAGGATAGGGGCTGTGATGGGGATTATGGGGGAGATAGGGGCCGATATGGAGGAGATAGGGGCTGTGATGGGGGTTATGGGGCGGTAGGGGCTGTGATTGGGTTTATGGGGCCATCTGTGTCAGCCCTGTGCTGATATCATCAGTGACATCAGGTGAGGTAATATTTCTCTTAATGGCAGAGGGTTATGTTTGTCTTTTCATCTCATCTTGGTCTTTTTCTTCATCTTTTTCATCCCTTTGAATGGGTTATAGTGCCAAGAGTCCCCTGGCACTGTCCCTCTATTCAATGTTAATCCACTTCAGAGTAGTTTAACACTAAATAAGTGTCCCTGGCCACCCACAGTCCAGTCCATTCTGAAGGTGTGGCTAAGGCAGCGATTATACACTTGTCTAATCTCTCATACTGTCTGTTGGAGCTGTGATAGGCTAAAAGCAGTCAGTTGACACTCTAGCCCATGGATAGGCAACCTTTGGCACTCCAGTTGTATTGGACCACATCCCCATAATACTCTTCCACCATAATGCTGGCAAAGCATCATGGGAGGTGTAGTCCAAAACATATGCCTGCTCTAGCCAATCCCAGCTGACCATTGCTGCTCAGGCTAATACTTCCTCATTAGCCAAAGCAGCATTGATAGGATGCTGTAACATAAAACATTAAAAACTGTTTAATGCTGAATGAAATGATGGTACCATGGGACTCCAGACACAAACTAGTTTAATGAGATGAAGAAGACACAATGCCTACAGTCTTTCTTTAAGGTTAGGGGCAAATTAAGGTAAGGAGTGGGTTAAGATAATAAGATTAGGGTTAAAGAATTACGGGTTAGAAGCTAGCTTAGGGTTCAATAGTTTAGAAGTAGGGATGGATTAGGGTTTAGGAGGCTTACGGCATCCATTTAAATCCTTTCAAAATCAACATATAGGATATGAGTGCACTCTAAACAAAAAAGAGGAAACTATATTTGAATATACACATTGTAAAACAAATTGTCTTCAGTACTAAAGTGACAGGGGTTAATATATAAGAATACATTCATACATTTTATAGGGTTTACTTTTAAGGCTTAGTGAATATTCAGAATGTAGAATAAACAAAGCATGCAGAAGTTGGATCGACAACTATCCTAAGCCAGTAGATTGACAGGAAAGATGTGTGTCACCGGTCTGGGCTTAATGTTTTGCCTAAAGTTAAGCTTAATGAATAGATAAAGGTCACAAATAAAGTCAAAGCCAGAGAGACAGACGTCACATAAACAATAAACCAAACCAAAAAAGTGGAGGACTAAATAGTCACCCAATTACCAAAGAATCACTGAGAAACAGGAATGGGCTGTTGGAAATATACAGAAAGCACAACAGGACAAGAAATACATATATTTATATATATACACAAAGTATGGAATCTGTGAAGACAAATTTGTCCAGTTGTGTAATATCATATCATATAACCTTTCACCGAAATCCACGCTTTATGGTGCTCTCACCTTCTTAGGGGGCACATACCACTGCCCCTGATGTAATTCTCATATAATATAATGATTCCATTTTTGATGCCAATCTCCTGAACAATGAAACCACAAGAAAGCCTTTTGATTGTGCAGTATGAATAAATAGGTAATCTAAAGTTCACACCCTAAGTGTATGTGCTCTCCTGGATTTGGGACGTATACTGGCCCCACAGGGTAAATCGAAAAACTCTCAGGCACTCCATGTAGGTTATTCAATAATTTATTGGTGTATTGAGAGCAGGAAGATTAAGGAGATTAGGATGGGGTTCCGGGGGATGGTGTACCCCGCAACAATACCTGCTTAATCATGAGCCTTTTACACTGATTGCACTTATCAATTGTTTTAAAGAGTATGCAATATTGAATTGCCAATAAAGGATTTAATAACCTACATGGACATTAGGTTCAAGAACTGAATCATTATATTATATAAGAATCATATCAGGGGCAGTGGTATTTGCCCCCTAAGAAGGTGGGAGCACAATAAAGGGTGGATTTCGGTTGAGGTTATATGATAAACGATATTACGCAATTGGAAGCATTCGACTCCACAGATGCTATACTTTGTGCACTTTAGCTTTTTATACTTCCATGGTATAACAATTAAAAATATTTGGACTACTGTTATTATATCCAGCTGACAAACAAGGACTATTGTCATTATTGTAACAAGCTGACAAATAAGGATTCCTAATAGATGTGGTAATCTATACCGTTATGTATATATTCTGTGGTCTGTCTAATTTCTGTTATGACACTAGTTGCCTCTTGACGATGTTAAAACATTGTATAACCAGCTGTTTTGGGATTACGGTAGATGATAGCCTCTTATTCATGCATAGCTACTACATACATTTCATGTAGCCTCTCTCATTGGGTCTGCTGTTGTAGTAGCATTTAAGTAGGTCTATGTTCTCACTTTGTGTCCAGGAATGGTTTGTTCCAGTAGCCCACTTGTCATCAGATTGCCCTGCTTCCCTAGCACCTGACACAGACCTTGTTAATCCGGGCGATATCCGAGCCAGCATTACTCTCATGGTTTGTGTTATTCTCATATTGTTATGTGTCTTGCACAGGAACATTTACTGGTTTTAGTGGTTGGACTGGGATTTGAACCTGAGGTTCCCAGTTCGATCTCAATATCAGCCAATATCCGCCAAGGCAATAACAGCCAGATATCAGATTGTGCAAAGAGGCCTCTGAGACAATCCAGCACATAGTTGCCTGTTGCAAGATGTTAGCGGGAACAACATACACTGGGAGGCACAACCAAGTTGCTGTAATTATATACCGAAGTATCTGCACAGAATATGGATTAGGAGAGGGGGGGCGTGGCCGACCAGAGATGGAGTAAGTCGCACGTTTGCAAGGCTCTGCAGTCCCCGGCTCAAAAGCCCTTAATAATTAGCCTACCTGCAGCAACTATGGGGAAATCGAGATGCCTGACGACCCCTGGTCCCTCAGGGACGACATCACCGAAACGGCAGGCTGGCCCAATGGACGAGTTTCTGTCCATGCCCGACGGCTTCAGACCCACGCGGCCGTTGGACAAAATGGCGCTGGACTCACCGGGTGCAAGCAGCATTGTTGAATCTGTAGCAGGCTCTACACCAGCAGACACCCTGACCCAGATCTCTGCAGAGTTATCTGCTATTGCCTCAAACATGTTGACAAAGGCAGACAAGGTAGCCCTGGTGCAGGAAATGCGCTCTGCCATCAGAGAAGAGATTCAGGAGGTGAGAAGAGACTTAACCGCCCTGCGAGTCACTGAGCTGGAAGCCGACTGTATGCAGGCCTCTCAACACTCCCAAGCCGCTGACAACGCTACCTCAAGACAAAGCACTGTTCTCCTAGATTTAAGGAGGCAGGTCGAAGACCTGGACAACCGCGGCCGCCACAATAATATTCGCGTGAGAGGCCTGCATACAGTCGGGGGAAGACCTCAGTGCCATCTTGCCGCAACTCTTCACGCAAGTACTGGGAGAAGAAGCCCCAGACACTTACAATATTGAGAGAGCCCACAGAGCGCTCCGACCCCCTAGGAATGACGGACTCCCCCGAGACATTGTATGCTGCCTACTATCCTTTCAACTAAAAGAGGCTATTATGAAGGCAGCCAGACGACAAACCATCACCTATATGGACGCCCAGGTGTCCCTGTTTCAAGATCTTTCACCCCTGACATTGGAAGCACGCCGGGCACTACGATCACTCACTCGAATGCTGCAAGACAGGAGGAATCCATACAGATGGGGACACCCATTTAGCCTGCAAGCCCGAAAGGACAGCGCATGGTGCACACTGAGATGGCGAATGATGTCTCCAGGTTCCTGAGAGCCTTGGACCTGCCGGCTGTGGCTATACCTAATTGGATCTTGATGTGCCCACCAGAGCACCGTGCATCATACAGGTCTCGCTCGCCCTGAGAACTTTCCGCTCCCTGCAGGCTGGAGGCCCCCCCTTCCGGGTACAGACGTCCTGGACTTTGAAACTGTTTCACCTTTTGGCAGTATGTACTCTCCCCCATGGCACTAATACCCAGCCACACAGTTAGGGTTACGCATGCTGGTTACCCCTCCCCCTCAGGGGGCCTCTGCATACACCGGGACTCAAATGCCTCAGAACTCTAGCCCAGACCTACGGATAAAACCCATGACCATACAGAGAGCAACAGTGGGCGGGAAAAGCTTGTTTGGGTGGGAAGCCATGGATACGAGACTCACCCACTCCTGCAACAACTGGGTAGGCAACTGGGTCCATGGCCATGGACACTTCGTCAGAGGTGTACGGGCGGGCCGTAAGCAGACTACCTGGACTCTCATATACCTCCACGTGAGGCTGTTGAAGGTACCCCTAATTGGCACCTTTCGGAGTAAGGGAATAAATAAGTGAAGAGGGCGGGCGGTGATACCTGGAACCTGTGGGCCCCACATAGCCAATAAAAATTAGGCACCATGACCCCACACAGGGGGGGAATCACACCAGGTCCCTAGAAGGAACGATGGGTGGAAGCGTAGAGAGTAGAGAGGGGGGGAACCCAGGTGGGTACCACAGAAATGCGCCCCGGACACGAGGTGGCAACACCGGGATACACTCGTCTCCTCAAAACCCCAACGGCTCCGACTAGCATGCAATAATGGCTAAACATGACACCCTGGGACCCCGGGCGGCCCAGAGGCCAGGGAGGGGGTGACACCCACGGGAGGGACTCTAGATGCAGGTGAGGCACGTAGCGGGACCTCGGGCGGGAGCGGCCTGTTCCAAGCTGTTAAATTATATACTCAGTTCTGCTAAGTTATGCTATACTGTTCAAGTTATTTGTTTTCTTTTTTTTTTTTTTTTGCTTAATTACCTGCACTGTACACAAAAGGTATGCAGTTCATAGCTGTGATGCTTTCTTGAGTAAATGACCCCCTAGGCTCAGGCAAACTGAGCAACATAGTTGAGCCGGATACAAGCAGTAGCCTCAACTCCCACATAAGAATTCAACTCTACCTGGTCACTACGACCCCACACAACTGACTCGGCCTGTAAATTGGATCGGGCCCAGGGATCTTACCGACCATAGACGGACCGGACATACACTGGAGCAAAAGACCGATCTTGGGTTATTGTTGTCTGACCACCCCTGACTTTACCAACACACCCCTCTCCACACCGACTACCACCAACAGACTCGTCCGGCCTGACACATACCACACCCCCCCACCACTTCCCTCCCCCTTCCCCCCTTGTCTACTGTATCTAACTCTTCCCTCCTCCCTCTCTCTCATCCCACCCCCACCCTTCCCCCTTCCTATCCACCCTGATCCCTCCCCCCCTCCCTCCCAAAACACACTGCTGTGATGTCACGGAAATTCCAACCTGCACCGCTCAGGTTCTGGTCCAATAACACGAGAGGCCTAGACGTCCCTGAGAAGCGCTCACAACTTCTGCGGACGCTGTGGTCCCAGAGGATGTCCATGGCATTTCTGCAGGAGACCCACTTTAAAGATGGGTGCGCTCCTGCGCTACAAGATAAAAGATTTCCCAAGGGCTTCTTTGCGAACCACCAGGACTCCAAAAGATCAGGAGTGGCGATCTTTTTTGCGAGGACGGTGCCTTTTCAATGCATCGCCACACATGTGGACCCACTGGGAAGATACCTCTTCATAAAAGGAACTATAGCGAAGTGCCCGTATACCCTAGCCAACGTGTATTGCCCCAATCGGGGTCAGCACACATTCCTGGCTCGGGCGATGGCCCGCTTAGAAAAGTTCAAGGAAGGCTTACTGATATTAGCGGGTGACTTGAACACTCCCCTGGACCCCTGAATAGACACATCAAGGGGTAACAGCACCATACCAGACCACTGCATACGCAGGACCAAACAAACACTGACCGACTGCTGGCGGGCGGCGCACCCAGAGACTATACCTGCTATTCTGCCTCCCACAACCAATAAATTTCTACCCCTGCTCATTTCCACAGACATAGGGATTCAAGGAGACTCTGACCACTCTCCCGTGTCCATCCAGATTAAATCACCTCTCTTCCAGCCGAAGGAACACCATTGGCAACTAAACGAAACCGTACTATCAGATACAGAATGCTCGACACTGACCACGCAAGTACTCACCCAAAACTTCGAAACCAACACCGCCCCGGAAGTATCCCCATTGATAACATGGGAGGCACATAAATGTGTAGTTCGGGGGCACTACATAAATCTTTGCACGCGACACAAACGGGAGAACACTAGACACATGCTGGAATTGACCAAATGGATAACCGAACTCAAAACCACACATAAAAGGGAACTGACAGAAGACGTATACCTCCATCTGACCGACGCGAGGAGACAGCTTAGGGACATACTCTCTCAGAAGTTACTCAAAGTGGTCCGCAGGTCCAACCGCTATTTTTATGAGTACTCAAATAAATGCGGTAGACTGTTGGCCCGAACTCTGCAGCAGAGACGGAGGCAAAACCACATTCACAAAATAGCACAGGCCGAGGGCACCGCTCAGGTTCTGATCCACAATAGGGAACACGGAACACCGGGTGGCGGCATATTCCAATGACCTGCTCTTCTTCCTGGAGCGACCCCTGATCTCCATTCCTAACACACTGGGCCTATTCTGACAATTCGGGAGGATCTCGAATCTATAACTTAACACCGAAAAGTGGGAGGCCATAAACATCTCTGTTCCCACTGATCTTGGGGCACATTTACATTCCCACTTCAGATTCAGATAGTGCGGCACTAAGTTGAAATACCTTGGCTTTTGGCTGACCAAAGAACTTTCACACCTCTACCAGGCAAACTTTGCCCCAATCCTCGCCTCCCTACAGGCAGATATGAAAAAATGGACAGACCTCTACATCTCGTGGTTCAGACTTATTAACTCAATAAAAATGAATATCCTCTCATGCATCCTGTATCTTTTCCAGCTGATCCCGATCGCCATCCCACGGGCTTTTTTCCACGCCATTTCCACCGCAATTAGACACTTTGTATGGAAGAGAGGATAGCCAAGAAACAGAAGACATCAAGTGAAACTACCCAAACTGCAAGGGGGGAACGGGGCTCCCCTCGATCATCGGCTACTACCGAGCAACCCATTTGCTGAGGGTCACTGACTGGCACTCCCACCAGACGGAGAAGCTGTAGGTGCGAGCAGAAATAGCACAGGCCGAGGGGAAAATACCCTCGGAACTATGGAGGACGGGGATTACACCTATTGCCCTCAGCACTGGCAACCCTCTGATAGACGCAACCCTAAAGGCTTGGTGTGCACTCCGTTACCCTCAACAGCTGACAACTCACAACAGCCTGCTCATACCCCTCACCCATAACCCAGATATTGGAGGAGGACAAACACCGGCAGACCTAAAAAAATTCGGACGGACAGGTCGGTCCTATATCCGCCAATGGTGCAATAACAGCTCCCTAAAAACCTTATCTGAACTAATCCCAGATAATCCCTTATCCCAACTAATCCCAGGTCAAATCCTTCTACAACTCCACAACGGCCAAGCAACAATTCCACCGAGACCCCACATACTTTGAAACAATATGCATCAATAGGCCACATATGGAGAGAGGGATCTCGACGCTATATGCACTGCTTCTGGAGGGAGAGAACAGGCCACCACCGAAATACATCGCCAGACGGGAGAGAGAGACAGGGGAGGTACTCGATGCCCAAGAATGGGATAAAAAATTGCTACTCACGCACAAAAGTTCTATCTGGTGTTGGGATGTTTTAGTATGTCCGCAGAGGCAAATCTTTGTTTAAGAGTCTCAAAAGCATTCACAGCCTCTTTGGACCATACCGTGCTACTAACCCCTTTGCGAGTCATATTAGTGATGGGGGCTATTACAGAAGAAAATCCTCGGAACTATGGAGGACGGGGATTACAGCTATTGCCCTCAGCACTGGCAACCCTATGATAGACGCAACCCTAAAGGCTTGGTGTGCACTCCGTTACCCTCAACAGCTGACAACTCACAACAGCCCGCTCATACCCCTCACCCATAACCCAGATATCGGAGGAGGACAAACACCGGCAGACCTAAAAAATTTCAGACGGACAGAACAGTCCTATATACGCCAATGGTGCAATAACAGCTCCCTAAAAACCTTATCTGAACTAATCCCAGATAATGCCCCAACGATGCTCGACTGGTTCCGATACCACCAGGTCAAATCCTTCTACAACTCATCAACGGCCAAGCAACAATTCCACCGAGACCCCACATACTTTGAAACAATATGCATCAATTGGCGACATATGGAGAGAGGGATCTCGACGCTATATGCACTGCTTCTGGAGGGAGAGAACAGGCCACCACCGAAATACATCGCCAGAGCGATCACATGGCCACAGGGGTCCTAATCCAGTGTGGGGAGACTGTCTGGGCTGCAGGCAGTCTCCCCACACCGGGAGCAACACTGATCGCCGCCGGGGGAACGACGGCAATCAGGTAAGTAACTAAGACCGTTAGGACGGTTCAGGACCGCCAGCGGTCGGCAAGGCAAAAATGCCGATGACGGTCCTGAACCGTCTGCCGTCCTTAAGGGGTTAAGCAATAAATATCAGTAAATATAATAAGTATAAATATGTTAAAAATTAGCATGTGATCCACCAATATTGGGGTACGGTGACATAGTGCTGGGCTTAATATGAAAGCCCTTATGTTGGATGCATTTTGCCACCCCTACCACCCCCAAAAAGTGCATATTCTCCTATGTTTCTCTTAACCCCCTTTTACATTTTTTATCCTCTTTTGTTTTTCTTATCCCATCTTTTGATTGTCTTACTAACTTTAGTTTAGTGTATCTTATCCTTTTTTCCCCATTGTGTGTCTCTTATAACCCCTTGTGTGTCTCTTACAACTTTCTCATGTGTGTCTCTTTCTCCCATCACATCTGTGTGTCTCCTTCTCCCCCCTACAGCCCTTCTTTGTATCTTTATTCTTCCCCAGCCTCTCTATGTATCTCCCCAAACCCCCTTTGTGTGTATATTTACCCTAGATTTTTTTTTCTCTTTCTCCACTTCCCCAACCCCTCTGTGTGTTTTTTTCCCATCACATTTTTTTTTCTCCACCAACTTCTTTGTGTTTCTTTTGTTCCCCCATCCCCTCTCTGTGTCTCTTTCTCACCACAGTCCTTTTGTGTGTCTTTCTCCCTCCAGCCACTCGGTGTGATCTCTCCCTTTGAGGTCTCTTCTCCTTCCCTCCTGCTTATTTTCATGTAGCGATACAGAAGTCTCTACCCATTTTGACAGGAAGCTGTTATACAAAAGATCCTCTACCGCAGTCTGCTCGGCTGGTCTAGGTGACTATAGTTTCCCTTTAAGAAAATGTATTTTCCGAATTTTGATCATTCATCTGTTTTCTAAACTTATGTGGGATTGTCATATATAAGGATATCAGATAATGAAGTTATCTACTAAATTGCTGAAAGGTCAAAATTACGAAAAGGGCTTACAACTTCCTAGTTTTACAGGTGTTCAGTAAAGAAAGTGTTATGCACCTCTCATGTAGTAAAATTGTACAATATGCTAGCTTTAGTGTACCTGTTCCCATAATAGATAACTCCCTAATTTGATATACCTGCATTTAAAAATTGGATATTTCCCTACGAAGATGCTGCCAGTAAAAATGATACACCCCTTCCCTCAACTTGTTTGGGTTCCTACGCCCATATCTCTTAGCAATACCACTATGCATAGTAGTTGAGTCAGATAAGATCACATTTAAATATTAGCCGTAGACGGACCGAGAATCAGAAGTAAAAAAATAATAGTCCTTGCCTTTCTTGCTACGCTGTAAGAGCTATGCTAACTATAAACCCATTGTGGACCAAAGAAGGTAAATTGTATTCAACTCATAACATTACAAGAGTTTGGAGAAGAATACAGTGATCACAAATGATAAATACAATACAACCAATTTCATGTTTTATCAAAACAACTGTCTCATAGCCGCTAGGTTTGTGTTTTTAGAAAAAAAATGACACAAGAAACATTTATTTCATTCCACACAATAATTCACCACAATCAGAGAGTGCACTGTGAGGGCAAGACTATCTCCCAGATGCTGATTACATCAAAGGTTTGCAGCACAAATTCAATTTTATGATGTTAATCTTAGCCTGCCACTCAGAAATTTTCTCCTAGGGATATGATTTTTCTCTGGATTTCATTTTAAGAATGATTTTCTTCTTCTGCAATCAATAAAGATATGTTTTCATCAAAAGACTCTATCTTGGCAGAATTCAATTGGCCATTGCAAACCCTTTTGGTGACAAAATATTAATTAAACTGCTTTATGTTGCATCTAAAGTGGAAAATTGGGCACTGAAGCAGCAAATATGTGAATAGATATATATACAGTACCTACACCCCTGTAACACACACCATCACTTGATACAGCTCTAGACCTACATGCCCTATGCACCTTAGTACACTGGGCTGAAAACTATTGATTTTTTTTATTTTATTCTTGCAGAAACAGTGTTATCTAGTTTATCTATCTATTATTATCATTATTATCGATAGTATCTATCTATTATTAACATTATTATATATATTATCTATCTATTATTATCTATATTCTCCATCTATTATTAACATTATTATCTATATTATCTATTATTATCTATATTATATATCTATTGTTAGCATTATTATCTATCTATTATTAACATTATCTTTATTATCTATTATTAACATTATCTATATTATCTATTATTAATATTATCTATTATTAACATTGTTATCTACATTATCTATCTATTATTAACATAATCGATATGATCTATTATTAATATTACTATATATATATATATATATTATCTTTCTATTATTAGCATTATTATCTCTGTTATAGTATTAACGTCACAAGATATGACATCAGCGTTCCTATCTTTATTGTAGGAAATGAATATGAAAGGACTAGTATCAAATCCGTTACCATCAGCATAAAACAGGAGGATTGTCATATATAATATTTATAAATAACTTTATATGTGTAAATGACTGCACTTAGTCTATTTAAATATATTCAAAAAACAGAGTAACCTTTTGTCACAAACACAAGTGTGTCTGTGTAAGCAAATATCATTCCGTACCTGTTCTAGTAATCGTTTTTAAAGAAACACTCCACTGAACATTTTGTGTATATTTTTAACAATTTAGTAGATATTCCCCCAACGAAAACATGAATGTATTTTTTCCTGCATACTTTCTTTAAAGGTATATAAAAAAAAAAAGCTTGCAAAAGCTGCAGTCCTGCTTTCAAGACATTCTCGTCTCAGACACAGACTTTCAGTGTGTGCCGGGGAATACAGTAATCAGAGACTTGGTGTACTTCCTGGTTTAAATTCAGTCTGTGCCGGGGCATACACTAATCAGAAGCTTCTCTCTGTTAAAGGCATGAGCGAGCATGGAGCTAACAAATGCGAAATAAAATCTCCTTGGCTGTCTGATTGACAGACAGACAGGCAGGTGTTTCAGCCCC